GCCAGCTTTTCACCTGCCAAGCCCTCGTGATCTAGAATCTACCTGTTCGGTTGCAGAAGGCCATCTTTGTCTGCTCAATTCGCAATTTCTCATCTCGCGGGACAATGAGACACATCCTAGAAAGAAAGAGGCCTGCGTGCGAGTCCTTGCAACGAAGAACGGGGGATAAATGTTGCTCACTTGAAGCATCCAGTTGTCCCAAGGCTAAACCTTGAAGTAGATAAGCGAGCTGATTCTCTCAACAACTCTCCTCTGCAATTGCCTTTCCTCTCCCAGGCTATTCGCGGCTGGTTTTACAGTCTTGTACGGTCCACTTCCGCTTGGATGCTTCTGCGGGGGAAGAGGATTTTATTGGCAGAATGAAGTTATTCCCAATTAAGTTGGCCTTCACATTCGCGCTTACCTTAACGATAAAATTGGTCTCACTTTGGTGCAATTTTTCCTGTGTGCTAGTAGGAACTTCTATTTTTGAATTTTGAATTTTTCCGTCACTCGTGGACTCGTAGCGGGTCGTAAGTGTACTTTGGTGAAGAATATGGGCCAACAATCCTTTTCTAGACCTGCGACATGCAGCGCCGTGTGAGTCAGGCCGCCCGTCAGCTGAGTTCGGTTCACAGTCACACAACTGTGGCTTGGGAGCTACAGCCACATTATTATGCACAGATGTGCGGGTCCTGAAAAAGGGTTCGATCTGGTGGTCGCTAGTGCTTATACTTTTGGTCATGTTGAAACCTTGAACGAGTGTGCGAGCTATTTGAGAACCAGCCAGACTGGAGTTCTTTTCATCTTCTTCCATTTTCCTCAATTCATTACCATTTCCAGCAAATAACTCACACACGTTTTGACTCACCACCATCAAACCATACATCACAATCTTCTCAATGGACTCCACGCCCGTCAAGACACAATGGATAACAGTCAGAGGACTTGGAAAATATAATGAACTGACGGCAGATCAGCTTCTCTGGTACGAAAGAACTGATGAAGAGGGCAGTCATCGCCATTGCATTCATCTGCATGCGGTGATGCTTACCTACGAACCAAGCATGAAAAATGCAACGAATCTTCCAGCTATGTCGATTAGTCAGTTTGTCGACACATGCAATAAGTCCATACCCATCTACATCATACCCTGCCCCAAGGTGCAAATTCTGAAGATTGTTCTTCATAACTATATCTACCGGCGCTGGTTCCGTCCATATAAAAGCGAGATCGACTGTGCGCGCTTTATATGCAAGTTCATCACCCCACAGGACCTACCCAAGGAGGTATCGCCGTCGCAATCAACCATAAATGGCCTGGTTTCTTTGAATATGGCAATCTGTAACGGAGTTGACGCCCAACGCAATAATTACAGAGCTCAAAGAGAAAACTCCAAGGCTCTTGACGATAGACGAATAAATCCAGATGTTCGCATCCTCCAGCCTTTATTTCGAGCACTACTTCTTATTATCTCAGGCGAGAAGTATTGTGATGAGGATTCAAAGACAGTTGGCGGGCTTCAGGTGTGCTTGGTGCAGACCGGGCTCAAGGATGGCTTAAGCGACCCAATTACCTTTGACTCTATCCCAGATGACAAAATACTACGGCGTTTGGAAAGTGTTGGTGCAGGTGGAATTGAGACTACACTTGAGACAGCTATAGACTTTGTTATAGACTTGGAAGCTCGGGAGGTCGCTGCCTTTGGTCTCCAGCCAGATCCAGTAGCAATATGGGAACCACTTGAGTTATCGCCCGAGACCTGGAGAGAAAAAGAGCCGCCAGTTGGGCCTAGTTCTCGGTTTGTGGACACAAGCAAATACACAAAATGGACAGGGGGAGGGGAACATTATGAAAATCGTGTTATGCCAGTTTTTGAACAACGGGCTTTTCGACATTACGCACTTGACCAAGAAGAGAAAGGAGCCGGTATTCATTAGCTACAGTCCGTATTTTGCCACAAACACCCATATGTGGCAAATTCAAACTCCCCAAAGCGCGGAAAGGTTGCACAACTCCTAAAAAGATAGAAAATAGCTGCGTTCTTCACTCTCACAGTCCTTGAAAGGCATATCACTACTAGTAGAAAAAAACCTTGAAGTTGCTAAATATATACATCCTACACTACTTTTTACTATTCAGTTGCAAGTACTTGACTAACTACTGCTCGCCACTGCTGTCGGCAACCACTACTGTTATAACTACCACCTATAAACAGAGGATAATTATTGTTTGTACTGTGTGGCGGCTCTCGCTCTCTCGGTGAGAACCACAGCAAGGGGCCACATTTCATTTGACCCTCGCTCACTCAAGAGTATAAGAAAACAACAAGAACTATTTTTGCTCTCATGACTTGACTTGAAGACGTGGCCGTAGTGCCTAAGTGATTAAAGGAACACTTTCCAGTTCGACAAGTGGCGAAGGCATGCACCATTCATATGAACTTGACTAAAGCTAGAGAATTCTTTTGACCCATTTGAATTATCGACTGATGAATAGAAAGAAAGTAGCATATATACCAAAATTTTTTAAAATTGTGTAGCTCAATTTACGAAGCAATGTGTCCTGCTGTGTCCTGCTGGTCGTGCCTTCCTTAACCTACCTTGGACGCAAAAAGAGCAAGAGCAAGAGCAAGAGCACGAGTACTTGTCGTATGATCGCTTTGCTCGGTTGAAAAATAGTAAAACAGTTTCCTGATGCGACATTTTTTGTCCTGTTTGTCTTGTCCTATCTGAAGATGGATATCTCCGAAGACACCTTCACGGCCCTTGTGGCAAGAGGCAAGGCGAAATACGACCATCTTGTGACGAGCGTCCAGAGAAATGGCTATAATTTTAAGTCATTGCCAAACATTATCCCACGGTATCATACTCGAATGGAATTGCCGTCATCACCGAGTATTTCTGAACGGGAAGTAGAAGCTCTCCATGACACTGGATATCTTAATGACGAGTTTGTCCTGATCTTCGTTTGCAATTCCGGCGCAACTGATGCGGTACCTCCGTACCAAAATTACATCGATGCTAGCGGCAAGTCTATGCTCTGTTGCTATAACTACGCCGAGAAGGATCGTTTCAACGGACAGTCTGAGCAGATATTCTGGTCCGATTTGATGGCAGTTTGCTATCACACGGTGATGAGGCAGCATGGGCAGAGCACCAAGAACCTCGAGACCGTTTGGCGGATTTCAATCAAAAACGAGGTAAGATAAAAGTAATGATTAGTAAGAATACCTCAATTAATAACCATTAATTTACAATAGATAACTAAAGGCGTAATTAAGCGCTTCGTTTCGAAACCACGTTCGGTTAAATACTTCGAGCTTGGCACTGAATTTTTCGCCCTCTTGGGCACCGTCAACGGTAGTGGCGTGGCAAGGATGCTGGCTACATATCCCCAAATGTTCGGTCGCCGAATAATTGCCAGAGTTGGGGTTTTTAGACACAACGCGGACCAGTCGGCGCTTTGCTGGCATTTAGAGCCAGCGCCTGAGCCAGTGCCGAAAATAGCACCAGTTTTGCCGTCCAGTCCATCACGAAAACAACTTCGACGGCATAAAAAGTCGCTTTCAAAAGGATTGGCTTCTGAAGATTTCAGTCGAGACTTCGTTTAGATCTGACTGACGCTGTCGACAAGGATCGTCCACCACTCTCAGCAGGAATTGGATCCAGTCTTGAAAACAAGCAAACAACAACCAGCAATTCTGAGAGCAATACGAAGAATGTCTTCAAGTAGAGAAACTGGGAGGACGGGAAAGCACTTGAATCCAAGCTACCACGGATGCTAGCTGGGGTTACATGGCTAGGAGCATAAGGATCACCACGACGGCATAAAACAGAGCTGATCAATGGGAAGCTTGATTAGGAATATAACTATGGGGATAGAGAAACACAACGAGGAATACAAATGGCGGACTCTTAGCGTACTGCGGGCAAGCTGGCGCCAAAGTAGAACTGGATGGGAGGTAACCCTGGGTTTCGTCACGTTTGGAGCAAGAATGCTGGGTGGAGGAGCCCATATTGTGCTAGAGGATGTTCAATGCAGGGTGGTGTACTGGGGGTTTTCACTTTGAAGGGAAGGATGCTAGCATTTTGCATTGGAGAGCTAAGGTGATGTCTCTGGTGGTCAAGTTTTGACGGTTTGTATTTGATGCTTTAAAGGAATGGGAAAGGGATGAAACCTGTCGTTGTGTTATGGAGAATGTGAGGGACGAATGGAAGGTTGCATTTGTTGTCCAAAGCCTGGTCCAAACATGGAAGAAACAACCATTCCCATGGTCAGATGACGGTAGGGTCTCTGATTCCCAGGTCGGCGCCGAGGGTTTTGGGGGATCCCTGAGGGTTACGTCGTCTGGAGGGACTGATTCGAAACACCGCTCATCAGAGCTGGGGATGTTTCGCGGCCGAGTTAGCACTCCTGGTTTTCCCCACCAGTTGAGGCGATGCGAAACTCTTGGCGAGGCTGGCCATCATTTCTGCCACCCATTCATTTGTTTTATCACGTTGAATCCTTTATACCTCGCTTAGGTTCATGTTTCTCACGACTTTTATGTAATGTTATCCTAGACATTTATGTTTGTCATGCAGCGCTTGAAAGATATCTCATCATCAGATAGAGCAGGAAAATGAGCATTTAAATAACCTTTAACGTACCTATCAAATGTCTTCATCGAGACTAACATTTGCGGAATAGTAGTTAGCTCGTTACAAGTTTTGGGCGTCCATGCTATTAAGATCAGGCTGAAAAAAGTGACGAATGCTTCAAAATTTAGATAGATCACTCAAATGATTTGGGGAGCGATAACAAGGATTGAGAAGCAGTACTAAGATATTGCATCGACCAACTAATTTTTTTTTCTAAAATGTCGCAGACACTTTGTCCGTCCAAAGGTTAAAAATTTACGATTATTAGGCTATATGAGGAGCAGGTAGCCCTGAACATCAGGTTAAAATTGAAGTCACGCGGTAATTCCATGGAAGGTACATAAGTAGGTTTAATATAACCCATAACAACACACCACAGGGCGGGTGGCTCAACTGGTAGAGCGCCTTCGCCACGCTAGTTCAAAATCGAGGACGACGATTCAAAGCCCAAAATCGAGGACAACGGCGTGGAAGCGGAGGAGGTCGCGGCGTTCAACTCCCGCTCCGTCCAATCTTTTTGGCCCCGTTGATGGTACACTAAGTTTTACACCATGCAACCCCCCCTACGCCCCTCCCTTTCCATCGCCCTTTTTTTTTTAATTTTAACCTTGTGTGTAAGAGACTGCAAGAATAGAGAAGCTTTAACCGTCTTGCAGTGCTGCGAAGATGCGTTGGAGTCATCGATCTAATCCATCAGATTTGTCTCACCTTCTTCGTGGCATCCCAAGCTGCTTAGACTGCTGCTGCGGTGGTGCAGTACGACATAGAGATCTTTAGTGGGAATAGAATTCATCCCAGGGCAGTTAAAAGGAGTAGCTGATTGCTCAGTGTATGCAGAAAGCAGAGTGGAACATCTTGTGTTTCTTTGTAGATGTGTCTTACGACTCTTCAGCCAGGATCACGCAATGGGAAGGCTCAGAGCAAAGCAGTATTATTAAAACTATTTTCTTTTTAAAATTTAATCTTCCCAGTTCATCGCCATGCTCTCCATATAACGGGTGAGATCTAACATCTCAACGTCCTTGTCCGCGCCGTTGTCCTCGATTTTGGGCTTTGAATCGTCGTCCTCGATTTTGGGCTTTGAATCATTGTCTTCGATTTTGGGCTTCGAACGTCCGCCCCGGCGCTGGGGACACCGGGCCACTTTGTGGCCAGATTTGCCACACTACCATGAAACCAGCGTTAATACGGAGCATATCCCGTAAACAAAGAGTCAAAAAAGCTTACCGACCAGCAAAACACAGCTCGGGATTTTTTAATCCCCCCTCCCCTTCCGCCGCCCCCGCCGCCACCCCTACGGCCACCGGCGCCGTTGATGACCTCTGAGAGGGCTGAGCCCATGGCCCGAATTTGATCTGGGTTTAAATTTGACATCTATAAATATTGTTAGCATGATAGCCCCCTGGATCATTCAATTGGTCGCCGCCTGTATTTGGAAAAAAGAAAACAAAATCAAGCGCGCTTTGCAGTTAGTTACAGTCCATCTGGTTACACGAAGTAGGGCGGATTGTTCAGTGGAATATCGTGGAACGAATAAAACGCAACAACTAAGAATACTAAAGCAGCTTGAAGAAACATGTCGCTTTGGAAACTTTGAGGGGGCTTCATACTTTTTTTTCTTTGATGATGAGGGCTGGAGATAAAAGCGGAAAACGTCAAAATTATCTGGCTCATATACACACCGTGTTTCTAACTACTGACGTAAGCAATGTAAAAATCTCGCGTAGTGGCCCGATTTCTATCTGACAGCTCGTTACACTTCTGACAGTTCGCTACACTCCTAACAGTCCGTCGCACTTCCAGTGACTGATTTTAAAACCCAGACACATACGTCTTGTTGCGCTCCACCAAGCAAGCCGTTTTTACCAGAAACGAGAGCGAAGACTGATAGTTATCCCAGATGTAGCCGCAGATCAAGGAAAAGAAGGAGGCCACGTTTGTTGGAATCAATTGAAAGGGGTCAAATTCTTGTATATTGATGAGTGCTGGTGCAGCCACCGCGATATCCGACAACCTTATGATTGCGTCCCGAAGCCAGCGCTCGACACAACGTCTCCAAGATGAATATTATTCTTCTGGCTAGGAGCCTCGCCACCAATGCCAACTACAAGGCCGATTCTGACGTTGGGGAAATTATTTGATGCAATGTGTCTCTGGCGACGTCTGTTGCGGACCCCATTCGCGGATGGCTGCGATAACCACATGATGCCTCCCCCAATTCCACCTCAGTTGTATTCATTGTTGTTATACCGCGAAATATGTTCCAGCCCGTCGTACTTTTCGTCGAGGAAGGCATCGTACAACAACATCGTGGGCTGCGGTCTTGCCAGGTCATTCATTGTACTCCAGCTGATGGATGACTTTATGAGCGGGGCCTACTGGTTTTGTCATTGTAAAGAACGAGAATTAGTTTCAAACATATTGTATAAGGTGCAATGCAAGTAGTCGCTTGCATTGGCGGATCTTTTTGGTCTATTGGGGTAACAAGCAGACCTTTATCTTGCAAGATGCCTATACAGAGTTTTGATGTAACCGAACTGGAGACAACGGACTGGCAACCAGACAAGACGGTCCAGATGTACACGGAAACCAATTTCAAGGGCGGAAAAGTGGCGCGTTATAGAAACCAAGGAATGATGGCGTTGGATAACAGAGATGTAAGGAGGGTATTGGAGAAGTCGGAGATGGCTCAGGCATTAAAGAATGGACGCGCTATAAAAGAAGGCATTTTGGGAGGAATTAGAAGGGCCAGAACTCAATAGAATCATTATCATCAACATCATTAATTTATATCAAGTTGGCCCCTCTGATTCAAGTCCGTTCCTGGCAATAAATAAAAGCATAATCAACTCCCCTCTACCCTGGTCCCAAAGCTCTAGCAGTACCACGTCATTGACGCTATATATATATATCTATTCATCCAGGCACACTCGTCCTATTGGAAGCAACAGGAATGAATTGATGGGGTAAAAAGCATATAAATTGACAGGTGTTGCAGATAGCGGATGTTCTAAGTTCTGAACCTGCTGATAATGCCCCAATTTATACCCCTGACGATAGCAAGATTTTCCTCTTCAAATGATGCCGCAAATAATGCTTCAGGTATCACTTCCAACCTCACCAGAATCCCTGTATTATCCAACACATCCATTCCAGGTTACGCCCACAAAGCAGGTGCTGGCATTAGTGGCATGGTCACAAGATAAACATCAAACACCCAAGTTTGGCACAAAATGCCGAAATGCAATGGTCGGTCATTACCTGAGCTGTTGCCATATTCACCCAAGCGGCAGCCAGCCAGACGCGAGCAAACATGGCGGTGAATTCCATCAGTGGGCTGGCCCCCCTGGTTAAAGGGCGAAGTATCGTCCCAAGTGTCCCTCGACCATCTTGATGCCGATCGCAGGAGATGAAATGGGGAATGAGCATCATGGTGAGCAGAGCAAAGCCATATGCTCCCGTCGTGGGGTAGTCGGGGACGACATCTGCGCGAGGAAACATGCGAAAACTGGTCGATGTGTGGAGGCCGAGAATCCAAAAGATGAGGGTCTCGGCCCAGAAACAAGGCATGGCGATGTAGCTCAGAATGCTGAAAAGAATACTGAGAGCATATTCGAGCTCAAACTCCTTTTGCCAAGCGTAAAAGCTTAGGAGAGCTAATAGATAAATGAGGGTTGGCCAAAGGTGTTCAACATGTTGCAGGCGGAACATGGTACGATGCTACAATTGGCTTTTGAATTATAGAGGAATAACAGGGGTCTTGGAAGATGATGAATCAGGATGAAGGAGGGTGAAGAATTCATGGACAAACACGGTCACGTAATTGTGCGGCTGCGAGGTTAAGGTTTTCTTTCGCCATGGTTTAGTGGAGTATATTCCTCCTGTAGCTTATTTAGTCAAGTGTAGAAGATCTGACTCTGCTAGTTCGAGCTGGGGAACCAGCAGGGATTTCGGCGGGATTGCCATCGCAAGCCCCACCTGAGCAACCCACTGCAAGCATCAAATGATCCGCACTCGCTCCCTGTAACGCACGCACCCACTCCAAGCGCTTGATGATATTCCTCGTTAAACATGTCGAGCCTCAGCATGTTATATCCTCATACCGTCCACCCGATGCTCTTGGCAGCACGTAAAGGTTGGGTGAAACTGACTTCTTACGCTACCGTAAATACACAATTCTCGTCCTAGGAAGCAGGACATAAACGGACAGTACCTCTTTGCAGAACTTGCACGCACTCAAAAAGCAAACATGTCATAAAATAGGTAAAGAAACATTTGCAGAAAATGATTGGATTGCTCTCCTGACCTCTCCCAGCAATTGGATTGCTTTCCTTGACCTCATACACTCTCATCTATATCCCTCCAGCCCCCCTGACCTCATCCAGTTCTATCCATATCCTCCAGTCCAGCCTCCGCCCATCACTAAGGCCATGCTGGTCTGGATGGTGTCGCCATGCAGGGCAGCCACTAATATCGCATGAGTCCAATTCCACGTCTTCAAGCATGTACGAACCACTTACAGCTCCACGGAAATGTCTCTATTGCGGACAAGTCTGGTGCCGAAAAGCCCATCCAGTCGACGAGACTCAATTGGGCTTCATCTGCAAACTTAAAGGGCTTCGCCATGATCAAGCGTGGACTTACTTGTGATCTATATTACCATTATCAGGCCTTGTGGACTTTGTGGCTTCTGCATCGGCCATATCTGCTATTGCAGAGAAGTCAGTTAGCTCGACCACGTAGGCGAGACTCAGGGACAAGCGCTCTGGCCATGTCCAGCCACATATGGCCAGAAAGCGAGCTCGATCAAAAGGGACGAGTCTCAAGTTCGGTCTTCATCACCAACTTAGGGCTACATTACCATGATCAAGCGTGTTTATATGGAACGGTGATATCGACAATAAGATGCGGTCCAAAAGCGTTGCGCAATTATCTTGAGCCTTCCTGAGTATCTTAGCTCAGGTCAAGGGCAGTCCTTTCTGAAAGACTTGTGGACTTGTGGCTTCTACGTCGGCTACGTCTGATATTGCGGAGAAGACAGTTGAACACGTAGTCGCGACTCAAGGACAAGCGCTCTGGCCTCGTCAGGCTGCAAATGGCCAGGAAGCGAGCTCAATCAAGACGGATGAGTCTTAAGCGCCTGCATGGCTTTGGTCATAAACGCGGCAACGGCCTCCTTGTCGGTATCCTTGCTTACACGGAGCCACGCTACGCTGGCGAGCGCGAAGAGCTCACCCTTACCCATGGGTTGTCGGGCTGTGTCATCGAACACCCACAGGTCGAGGGCCGCGGCGATTTCCTCAACGTAGTCGTACGTTTTGACGATGATCTGGATCTCTTTGATGACAACGTCCTCGGCCTTTTTATGTCCGCTGTACTTTCGGCAGCGGAGGGTACATCTTCCATAACCTCACGGAAGGCCCTACTCACGTTGGTCATGTCGTGGGGTGACATTGATGAAGCCTCTTTTGCTACCAGGAAGTCGGTCGTCCAGTGGCATAGGCCATCCTT